GTTAAGGTTGGAGGGTAGCATTGTATGAGGAGATAGTGAGAGAGGGACAAGAGAAAGTGGGGATGAATTAGAGCAGGCTTCCCCAAAATACAACTCCCATGATTCAATGAATGAAATAGATAGGCTGAGAATCATGGGAGTTGTAGTTCAGCAACATCTGGAGGGCCAGAGTTTGGGGAAGCCTGAATTTGAGTTTTGAATGGAGAACAGCTGAGGGTTGCTGGTGGTCAAGAGAATTGAGGGTGGTTAGGGTGAGGCTGTTGAGTGAGGGGTCTTTCAAGAACAAATGATAAGAGGTTGTGATCAAAGAGAGGAATGGAGTGTTGTGGAGCTTAGAGATGGTGCATGCATTAGAAAAAATAAGATTGAGAGTATTGCCAGCTAAATGTGTGGCAGCATTAGCCCACTGTGATAGGTCAAGGAAGGAGGTAATAGAAAGGAGTTTGGAAGCTACTGATGTCAGGGGTGGGTTAATGGTAATGTTGAAATCTCTGAGAATAGGGGAAGGGATTTTACTTGAAGAGAAGTAGGGAAGCCAAGCAGAAAAATGGTCAAAGAACAGACTTGGGGAACCAGCGGGGCAATAGATGACAGCTATGTTAGCAGAGATAGGCTAAGTGGTCTAGTCTATTTTTTAGACAGCCATTGCCTGTAGACGGCTTTCTTTTTTCTTGTTTATGTTAGCAGAGATAGGTTTGAACAGACAAAGAGGAGGGACCAGTGTTTGGAGAGACGTCACCAGCTGCCAGGAGCAGTAGGATGGGAAGGAAGAGAAGGTGGGAGTAAGATTTAAATGTCTGGGATGAGAGCTTGTAATTAGGGGATTTAGGAGGAGTTTGTGGAGAAAGGCTGGATAAATATGCCTGAGTAAAGTGCATGTTATGAATAGAGAGACGAGGGAAGTAGAGAGGAAGCAATGAAGATGTTCAGCAGGAACAGGTAAGTAAAAGGATAGCTCTAGATACTTCACTATATGTAATTTTATATTTTCAGATCTCCCATATATATCACATCCTGTCGTACAGGTTGTATCCGCTATATATTTTATTGTGATATTCCACTTTTTAATTTATACTCCACTACGGAGCCATTTAAATTATACTTTGTTTTTTGTTAGCTTTTATTTATAGTCACTGAAATGGAGCATTCCCTACTGGCAATATCTAAGATCCCACAGAATTTGCTCTGAAAAGGATGATTTCTTAAAGAAGGCAGCCAGTTTGAGGTCATTTTTCCTTGAGAAAGGCTACCCTAAACACCTGCTCAAGATGGCTTTTAATTGGGTCAAATAAGGTGAAATTTCGTACCCATCAGACCATCAGACCATAGATGATACATACTCTCTTATTTGGTGTATTACTAGATGGGATCCAGGTTGGAAATCAGTAAAAAATGTTTGATAGTGCAAGGGAAACCAAACTCCCAAGGTACAACGGAACCTGAGGTAGGCCAAACCCGACTCTGTAGTTTATGAAGTAGAAAAAGGGGATAAATCAGTTAAAGACATCTTGACCAAATAATGGCCAATATTGTCCTTTAAATTAACTTGACCAAGAAGGTCATCACCAGACTGCCATCTATGACTGCATAAAGGGCTCCTAATTTGTGTGACTTTCTAGTGCAGAGTCATATCTTCTATATATCAATCTGGAACCTCGCTGAAACCCACCCTGTGAGTTTACCACCTGCAATGTTATTGCACCAACTAGAGAAATTTTGTGTTATGTTACAAAAAGGTATTTAAAATTGAAATAATTAATCAGTTGTTCCTCTACCAACATTCTGATGGACACTGGCCTATCCTTGGAATGGAAGTAAATTGTCACTTCTGATGGACACTGGCCTATCCTTGGAATGGAAGTATATTGTCACTTCTGATGGACACTGGCCTATTCTTGGAATGGAAGTAGGACACTTCAGAAGGACACTGGACTATCCTTGGAATGGAAGTATATTCTAGGATAGGGCTGTGTCCCCCTAAAGTGACACTAAGGCTAGTTTAAGGTTTAAGACTATTAAGAAGGTGACCAGCTTATTTATATGTTTATTATTAAGTCACTTTGCACTTTTACTAGAAGCTATTGCACCCATCTGTTTTGTTTCCCTCTCCTGAGTGCATTTGGCTAAAGACAGAAGGTGACTAGTGTCACGTTAGAACACATCTGCCAGTGTGATTTGAGCCTGTCCCATGGGCCTGTACACCTTTGTTAAATAAGGGTACGTGTTTATGTTTTTGTGCTCGGCTGTATGCACTGGTGGTAGTACAGCCACTTAGTTCACCTGTCTTTATTGTTTACTTTGTGTAGTTGGGAAGAGACTCACACTAGTGCAGTAGCATCTTTTAGTTATAGTTTTGATTTGTTTATAAGCTCAAGTCTTGCATGGATTTCAGCTTTTGTTTTATATATTACTTTAACTTAGTATACTCTTTTGGAGAAAATAATCTTTTGGAGATTTGTTTATTAATTATCCTTTATAAGTACATTTTGTGCCAGTTGTAGCTTGGTTAATCCATCCCAAATCTAGTTCTCATTAGAGGTTACTAGAAATAACTGTCTGACTAGCTAGTGTATAATCAATCTACTTACTTTCAACATTCAACACATATCCACGCTTTAGGTTATGTTTTAATCTGAACTACATTTCTTTCTACATTTCTTTCTGGTGGACCATACAGGCACTTTCATTTACTATTAGATTTTTTGTGTATTCCTTATTCTCATGTCCTCTACCAGAGGCCTGGGAGTTTAAGGATTCTGAGCAGCATCTTAGCTGTTCCTAGAACTGCACTCTTCTGGACAGTGATCTCAGATGGAACACCTGGAATATGTAGAAGCCACATTCCCAACTTGGGAGTCACAGCCCCAAGTGCTCCCATCACAACTGGTACTACTACTACTGCCTTCACTTTCCATATTCTTTCTAGCTCCTCTTTCATTCCTTGGTATTTATCCAACTTCTCATGTTCCTTTTTCCTGATGTTATAGTTACTCAGTATTTCCACATCCACCACCACAGTAGTCTTCTGTTCCTTGTCTACCACCGATATCAGGTTGGCTGGCCACCAGTAGCTTGTTTGTCTGGATCTGAAACTCCCAAAAGATCTTAGTCATGCCATTCTAAACTACAATTTGGGGGATGTCCCATCTGGACTTTGGCTGGTCCTGCACCTTGAATATGCTGTGCAATTTCTGGCACCTGTTATAAAGAAGGATATTATGGCACTAGAAAAAGTGCAAGGAATTTTTTCCTAGTTTGTTGCAAAATTTAAAGCGCTTCAGACTAGGTTTTTTGCCTTGCCTATAAATGTGGACTCTACTGCTCTACCACTATCTATCATTGATGCTGCGTAGCTTTTTGCAGTTGGCTCTTCTAGTAGGTCTTAGTTGTGCTCATACTTTTGTTACTTGATTACAATTGTCCTCACATGATTTATGCTGTTTCTGTGGCGGTGGTCGATCCATTTTAATTAAGCTGAGAAGCTCTGCAATATCCTAAAAAGTCACAACTCACTCACTCTATTTCTGTGTGTTATTGCACTATAGATATCTTCCATACACTTAGTTACCCCAAAATGTATGGTAGAAGATTACCTTCAGAGAAACGCATCTCTCTGGGTTTGCCATGGGGTTCTGCCCTGTCTTACTTTCAAACACAGTGCAGTATGGTGGGTTCTTCTCTTGTGGTTCTCTGCTATACTCCATATTGCTTGTTTATTGAGTTACTCGGGCACGCTAAAGACTGTTGTGATGAATGTTAGGCTGTCAGCAAGATATTATTGTAAATACAACACTGAATATTAGCTATCACTCCCAGTTTTCTTATATATCTAAAAAAGCAGCAAGATTCTTTGCACACAGGTTCTGCCCTACAAGATGGTCATCTATTTAGGCGGTGCTCTGTGGGAACCACCACTTCTTGTTGTAACAAAACAAGAAGAAAACACTGGCAGCACACTGTTTCGGCTTGCAAGAGCATTTTAATGCATACTAAAATCTGAATCATATGTATTTATAGCCATTAGTTAATTAATTACATGCTCCTCTAATAACAGCATGTTAAGAGAATAATAAAATGGGACATGGAATATTAAAATATTTTAGGGGGGGCAGGGCCGAACCGCCGAGCCGAACGGTCGCACGCCAGAACAGCTCCTGCAGTCTCTACTAATTTTAGCCCTAAAAATGCCAAAATCCAGCACTTACTTGACGACTGGCAGCTGTGACCGAGCACAAGAAGACACCCTGGTCCCGAGGAGAGGCTTGCTGCACAGTTTTAATTCTCAATTTTATCAATGTATCCAACACGATAATATCAGGGTGGATATATTAGAAGTTAGGGGTTGCAGCATTACAATGATTCCAAACATCAAAGTAAATCCACTACAGAATTGGTTAAAAAAAAGAGAATCCACCTTTTTAGAGTCCAGAACTTAATCCCATAAAGATGCTGTGAAATTAGCTTAACAGACATTCTAAAAATATGGCTCAGCTGAAGCAGTTCTTTAAGGAGGAGCAGTCCAAAATTCCTCCTGAATTAATCCCGGAGCTACTGGAAATGTTTGGTTGAGGTTATTGCTGCAAAAGGAAGATTAACTAGCTATTAAATACAAATGTTCACTTACTTTTTTACCACAGCACTGCAAATGTTTAACGGGATTGTTCAATAAAGACATCTAGATGTATAATTGTTTTGTGTTGTTAGCCCCTTAAAGACCAAACTTCTGGAATAAAAGGGGATCATGACATGTCACACATGTCATGTGTCCTTAATGGGTTAAGAACATTGTGTTTGTCTATACTTATAAATGAATGAGATGACATTGTATGATCAATGCAGAAAACCAAATAATTCCAAAGGGTTCACATGTGTTTTATTGTCACTGTATATACCGACTGGGTGAAATAAACGATTGCAAATATATTAACAACTTGCCAAGTAATATACATTGTAAATAATGGTCTAATCTTCTGCTCAAACTGTATTATATAAAATATTCTTCTTTTATCTACATACAATAGATATGGAGAATCACACATTGGTCACTGAGATAATCCTATTGGGATTCCATCACCTTCACAGCATGAGACATTTATTATTTTCTATAATTCTTGTTGTTTATAGTCTGACAATATCAGGAAATTCCCTCATCATTGTGTTGGTGTCATGTTTCAGACACCTTCATTTTCCAATGTATTTCTTTCTTACTCAAATGTCCATATCAGATATTTTGTTGACAACAAGTATTGCACCTCATATGCTTTCCATCATCAATCATGAAGGAGGTATTATATCTCTTAAAGCTTGTATAACTCAGTACTACTTCTTCGCTGCTTTGGAATCTTTAGAATGTTTACTGTTAACGGTGATGTCTTATGATAGATATCTGGCCATCTGTAACCCCCTGCAGTATAACTCTATAATGGACCATGTATTTTGCGTTAAATTAATAGTTATATCTTGGGTGTTAGGCTATGTTATGGCATTATTAATTGTAGTGCCAATAACTGAGCTAGTATTTTGTGGACCTAACATCATTGATCATTTCTTTTGTGATCTTGATCCACTCTTGAAGCTTTCGTGTTCTGATACCTTAATACATATAGAAGCTCTATTCCTTTGTGTCACTGTACTTATTACACCTTTTTTAATGATAATTGTGTCATATATCTATATTGCTCTCACTATTGCTAAAATTCCATCAATTAGTGGGAAAAAGAAAGCCTTCTCTACCTGCAGCTCCCATCTGACTGTTGTTTCCATATACTACGGGTCTCTCATTAGCATTTACGCTGTTCCAAATAATGAAAGATCATTGTCGACAAGTAAAATACTGTCTATGTTTTTTACAGTGGTGACCCCAATGCTTAATCCAATAATATACAGCCTGAGGAACAATGATATTAGAGAAGCTCTAAAGAAAATTAATCTATACCCTTTAATAAACAGGAGTATCTGAAATAATTATTTATGTTTGATGTAAAATGTAATAGCATTGATAAAGACGTTTTTTAATTGCTATCTAAAATGAGTGCAACTTATTTTGTGGTGCTATAATTACGACCATATTTGTTTGATTATAAAACAGCCCTGATTATTAAGATCCCCCCCAAAAAAAAATTCAGATCTTGTTGGAAAAAAAAGAAATGGCCTGAATATATGACTACCCTATGTGGAAAAAAAAATCAAATACACACTAACAAATACAGATACACAGACACGCTTGTATAAGTAGTCACAGAGTTTTAATCACTGTATAGTCTCCATTTACTCCTGCTGTTCATATTATTTTTCTTTTTTATATTTTTATTTTAGATTTATTTATTAAAAGTTACTTTTTACCTATAATCTTCTCAGTAAATCATACACAGGTAGAATGGCATTTTTTTCTTTTTTTGTTTATTCTCTATGAGATACACAGACACCCACCGACACACATGCAGATACAAAGTGACACACACAGTCACACAGATACACAGTCACACAGATACACAAACACATGCACACATACAGACACACAGTACACATAGACACACACATATGCGTGCAAACACACATATAGGTACACAGGCACATAGCCAGACATAATGACACACATGCAGATACGCAGTTGAACAGATACACATATGCACACAGATAGACACACATATGCACATAGACACACAGATAAAAAGATACACAGACACATAAAGACACACAGATAAATACATAGATGCACATACATACAAACATACAGACACACACACACACACACATACAGATAGAATTTACACATTTTAAACCACCCTCCGGTTTCATACCTTTTTGGTGCATGAGGGTGGCTTCTCTGTGGTCTACATGGCTGGATCAGGCTGTTGGACAGCCTGTCAGACAATCTCCTACTCCGCCACCCTTGGACACATTATAACTAACCCCCATCTATCACACCCAGATCTGCTACAGAGTGAGCAGGAGATCACAGTAGTGAGCATCTACACATTACTCTACAACGTCACCCTCTCTGGCAGCTGAACAGTTACCAGGTCACTGGAAATAGATTGCTACCAACAGCATAATGATTAGAAAGTCTGCAAAGTCAAGAGCAATCACACTTCCCTTCCACCAATTACCTCGCCTAAATGATTTCGATTATAGGACAAGGTTTTTTTTTTCCAGAAGTTTTTTTCTGAAACCTTATTTCATAATTGAGCAAATGTGGTATATTTATATGGAGACAAGAACAATATTTTAGTTAAGACTTTTCAGTGAAATTGAAAGGAATACTACTGCAGGGGTTATGGTGCCATGGGTGCTCTGGTACCCCACAAAGTAAGTTGACATTGCCAGATTTAGCTCTAACAAAGTGCTTCCAGCTGTCCTGTTGGCTGCAATGAGTTAGGAAGTGGCTCTCACCGTATATTAGAGGGAACCAGAGCACTCCTGACACCATAACCACTAGCAATATTTTGTAGGCGGCACTTAACAATCAGATCTGCCAATTGTCTGATTTTAGCACTAGAATCTGTAATTTGGAGCCCTCTCCTGCTGTTTCGATTTACTTACCTGATATCAGATTCTGGGGATACAATGTGAGAGCCTCATTAGACTTGCTTGTGGTCCAGACCCTAGGACCATACAGAAGGTTCCTACCAGTTGATAGACTAACATAATCCTTTAGCGGGCAGCGAGACACACCTTTTATGGCCCTTACCCCTGAAGTCCTGCCCAACTGCCCAAATTAACAGTGTTGTGAGCCATGCACAATAACTATTTACAATCCATTCTCTGCTACTGACCAAGGAAAGTTTGACTCAAATAGCACTACATAAATGACAGAAGTTCTCATGATGAATTTATGTGAGTAAAAGCTCCAGATGTGTAAATGCAGTCAAAGTTACTTAATATAAAAAAATGGTAGTGTTGCTAGAAATTCTAGTGCTACTAGAAAGACCAAAACCTATACATAATACAGAATACACTAACAGAGTTTTATATTATACGAGGCTTCTTGAAAACAACTATCTTAGTAAATACCTATAAGGACTGAGTGGATCACTGTATATAAATATACACTAACCCATGCATTAATTAAGTGTATGTTTATATATAGCGCTCCACTGGGTTTACGTGAGTGGGTAGATACCACTTAGTACACTTCATATTTTCTTGCATGTTTGTGTGTGCAGTTTGAGGCAACTGGCATGTGTGTAGTAGCAGCTATTACATAGTTTGTTCTATTCCTGTTATACTTCACTGTATATGCGCCTTACAGCACAGAGCACTTTTTGTATTTGAAATATGAGGACTTGTTCATATTGATCAACTAAGATTGATTGGCTATTTCAACCAGTTGGTGCTCTTGACCTGCGTGTTCACATCAACAGAGTAATACTGTGTTCAGAAGAATCACATACTGTAACAACACAGGCCCTGAACAGCTCTGTATCCAGATGGCTCCAGCTACTAAAGATATTGACATTACAAATTATATTTATTATATATTTTCCCCTCGCCCTCTTTCTCTTGTCTCTCTTTTCACTCTCCATTCCCTGGGTGGAGGATTAATTATTCTCCACCTGATCTATATAAAAAAAGTAATAAATATCACGGCAGTGGGGTCGGGGCTTAACAGCCGGCTTAATGAGAGGCGGGACAGGGCTAATAAATACCAGAAGCCCCCATTGGTAACTGCTGAACAGGAACTGCACCCACTCCTCCTTCCAGCCATCATGGAAAGAGGTAAGTCTGTGTGTGTGTGTGTGTGTGTGTGACTGTTTGCCTGCCTGTGTTTGTGTGTGACTGCCTGCCTCTGTGTGTGTGTGTGTGTGTCTGTGTCTGCCTGTGTGTGTGTATGCGTGACTGCCTGCTTGTGTGTGACTGTTTGCCTGTTTGTGTATCTGTGTCTGCCTGTGTGTGTATGTGTGACTGCCTGCCTGTGTGTGACTGTTTGCCTGTTTGTGTGACTGCCTGCTTCTGTGTGTGTGTGTGTGTGTGACTGCCTTCCTCTGTGTGTGTGTGTGTGTGTGTCTGTGTGTATGTGTGTGACTGCCTGCCTGCCTGTGTGTGGCAGTCTGTCTGTGTGACTGCCTGCCTGTGTGTGTGACTGCCTGCCTGTGTAACTGTCTGTCTGTGTGACTGCCTGCCTGTTTGTGTGACAGTCTGCCTGCGTGTGTGTGTGACTGACGGACAGCCTGTGTGTGTGTGATTGTCTGTGTGACTGCCTCCGTGTGTGTGTTACTGTCTGCCTGAGTGTGTGTGTGACTTTCTGCCTGTGTGTGCGTGACTGGCTGTCTTTGTGACTATCTGCCTGCCTGTGTGTGACTGTCTGCCTGTGTGTGTGTGTGTGTATGTGTGTGACTGTCTGCCTGTGTGTGTGTGAGTGACTATCTGCCTGTGTGACTGTCTGCCTGTGTGTGTGACTTTCTGCCTGTGTGTGACCGTAACTGTGTGTGACTCCAATTGTGTGTGTCGCTGTAGCTGTGCTGTTGTGTGTGCCTGTATGTGTGACTATCTGACTTTAACTGAGTGTGTGTCTATTGGCGTGCAAGAGTTCCTACATCCCTGTTAGAGTGTGTCTAACTGGCTGTGCCTGTGTGTGTGACTGTATACCGGCAATGTGTTGGTGGGTGGGGGAGGGGTGCCGTGAAGACCTTTCACACAGGATGCCTAATGACCTAAGGCCTGTGTGTAACCAGTGAAGGCAGTTCCTACTCTACTAATTTTGTGAAGTCTACTTGGGGTTCACTCTTCTTATGGCTTTAAGTTGTTACATGACGGAATAGCGTACATGTTTCTTAATAGGATTCTATGACTTCTTATGTTACATAGTTACATAGTTACATAGCTGAAAAGAGACTTGCGTCCATCAAGTTCAGCCTACGTCACAAGGTTAAAGGGTTAAAGGGTTAAATACAACAGGATATGCCTTTTGTATAATTTTTGCATTATGGTTGTTAATACATGATTTCATACTGTCGTTCCTATCTTGTACTATTAAATTTGATTGTGAAAATAAAGATTGTCAAAAAAAGAAGAAATTGACCTATGTTAAATAGGACAAGCTTTGGTAACATTTATGTGTAAGCCAATGACTGTCTTATTAGGTTTCCTAAATTTTTTTTTAAAAAGAGATCTGACTATATCTGTTGAAAATTCAGGCAGAGGAATCCCAGGCACGGGAGCCTCATTTATATGAATGACTATTGTTATTCAATCTAATTAATCATAGACCATAAACAATAGACTATAATGACCACACAAGGTCTGACCACCAGTACATGCATCCTAGGTGAAGAACAGTATCTGGAAATGGTATGTAACTGTGTACCAGATCTGCACTGAGCTAAAGAACAATACAAATCTAGGTAGGAGGAAGTCCGATTGTCTCTGATCCAGGCTTATGCTAATTCACGTATGTTGAATGCATAATACAGTCTTGAATGTTGTAACTTACTGAGCCAGGCAGGATACTGTCAGGAGAACTGCAATGGCAGAATATGTAAGAGCACCCATTTGTTGTAGTTCCCGAGGAAACTGGTTACATTACCTCAGTAGTAAAGTGCTACTCACCCAGAAGAACTACATGTCTAGTGCCAACAGCCAGTGTAATTTACTGTACTGTTTAAGGAGAGGAAGGTGAAGACTTACTTTGTTGCCAGGTTATCATGCTAATATAAAGAGGTATTATGCAAAAGAAAGGAAGGCTGAAAGCCAAAAATAGCTATTTTCCCAATACAACTTTTATATGAAACTATTTTTATCCTTAATTTACAATATCTGTATCTAAAATGCAAAAGCCTGTTAGGCAATATATACAAAATGTCTATCAATGATTTTAAAAAGTCAACCTCTGTATGGGTAAATTGAATTCCTCTTATACGGGACATTCTAGGCATCAGAACTACAAAACCACAATATGTTAGAGTGATTATAGTGCAGGTATACTCTGAGTACAGTTTTCTGTGAAACTGGTTTAAAATGGTGTCACTTAAAAGATGGCATTAACTTCCACATATTGCATGAAAATATTTAGGTGACATGTTCTTCATGGACTACGTGACAAGAAAGAGAGGGGAGTAGAATCCGTGGTCTATAGTGTGACAGGGAACTCATATTATTATCTAGTCCACTTGTAGGCAACATTTGGCACTTCAATTATTTTGGAAAGAATGGGATTGTTTATTGTCTTTATCATTTAAAAACCCATTCCTAATCCTATAGATATTTGTATTGGTGGGGGGAGGTTGCCCCCTCACAGCCTTGCACCATGGACAAAGAGGTGAAGATAGTGAAAAGACTGTGAGGTGGGCTAGGTGTGTATATCTTATATGTTGCCAGGTTGTGAAAGCAATACCCAATTCGCACATGTCTCCTGGAATTTTGTGGCCAGAGTAGGTGAGTGTAAGGACGTCTTCTCATATATGTCAAATTGTTGTAGTTTGTACCTGAGTTGTGAAAGTAATGGGCAGTTTGGCTTTTTCCAGCTGAAAAATTCTAAATTCCTTGCGCCAACAAGACTAGCACTATTAGTTGGTGGTGGGTGTGACTAATGTTTGCAGTGGGTAGCAAAAGACGGCATGTGGAAACTGACGGTGTAAATTTTTCTATTCCCCAGTTGCCCTAATAGTGTTTGGACGTCCTCCCACAGTGGTCTGATCCCACTACTTTTCCACCAAATGTGAAGTAGAGTACCTTCCTCGGACATACATCTCCAAAAAACAGTTGGGTTAATTTTGTGCAGTTTGTGTGGCGTTAAGTACCATCTGTACAAAAGCTTCCTATGTGCCTCTATGTGCATATAGCATTTTGAACACTTGGACAGGCTGTTGAGCGCTTGTAGCCATTCAGTGTCTGTGAGATTTGCTCCACAGTCAGTTTCCCATTGGGTCTTGCATGACACCAGTTTATCGGGTTGCATTTCCAGCCAGGCTCTGTAGCAGATAAAGAAGGCCTTTGGTTTGGTCGGGGCCACCCAGCACCTGAGCAGTATCAAAAAGGGCAACAACAATCCGTGTCCTGTATCTATGCTGTGTGGGAAATAAGTAAGCAAGCCCAGCATGCTTCTCACCTGTAAATATAAGAAAACATCGTGGCTTGGGATGCACCATTGTTTCTGTAAATCCGGGAAGGCCTTCACCTTATTCCCCTATAAGAGGTGTCCAATTTGTGTAATGCCTAACTTTATCCAATCGTCTAGGGGCACCGTTGAGCACAGTCAGTGGAATTTGTATTTATATCCCAACCATGACATAAAAGTGACCCACACTGTCAGAGTTAGTTTAGTGTGGGGGTGGGGAGTAGGGTCCTGTGCATGTTGCGGAGATGTTTTGGGGATCACAGGTAGTTAGTTCAGCACTTTCCTGGAGTTGTGGGATCCTGGAGTTGTGGGTAACAGTCACCTGGGGTCTGATGTAACAGGGGTTGGAGCACAGTTGCAGTAGATGGCACAGGGAGGAGGCAAAAACCAGAAGCGCAATACAGATTGAGGGGAAATCCAAAGGCAGGGTCAGACGAGAAGCAGAAGTCAGGGCTGGCAGCGGAGTAACATAGTCTGTAAAGCAGGCAGAGGTCAGAGTTCAGGAAATCAGTCAGTAGTGATTCAATGATCTGGCAGGAAACACAAAACAGGCAAAATGACCAGATGCTAGGTTTAAGACAGGACTGGTTTTTACAGCCTTCTAATTAGATGCAGCTGAAACTAATTGGAAAAGGGCAAGGGGTCAGGAAGCAGAATAATGCAAACAGGTACTGAAGCCAGCACAGCAGAGAACCTGACTGGGATGCTGGAAATGTGAGTTCAAACCCAGCCAGGTCTCTTAAAGGGGCAGCCATATGGGCTGTGCTGTGACAGATCCCTGCCTACCTTTCACGTACCCTGTTTGGTCGTTGTGTATTAGTTTGGGCAGGAAGCATGCTAATCTGTTGCAATGGAGTTTGGCATATATTGTTACATCACAATTAA